CCCCCCCTCCGCCCCGCCCCCCCTTCTGCGGCGCCGGCGCCGGCCACCGCTTGCGCCATGCGAAACAGCCCTGGAAATCTATCAGGCGGTGTCGGGTCCCGACCACCCGGACGTGGCCATCACCTACCACAACCTGGGCCTGCTGTACAGCAACTACGACGCGCGCTTCGCCGAGGCCGAGGCCATGTATTTGCGGGCACTGGCCATCAAGGAGCGCCACTACGGGCGCGACCACAATGAGCTGGCCATGACCCTCAACAACCTGGGGCTGGTGTTCAGCAAGAGCGCCCAGTTCAGCCGCGCGGCCGAGCTCTATCGCAAGGCCATCGAAATCCGCGAGGTGATTTTCGGCCCGGAGCACCCGGACATCGCCCTCTTCTACTTCAACCTCGGGGTGTGCTACGGCAAGATGAGCCGCCTGGACCGGGCCCGGCCCTGCCTCTTCCGCGCGCTGCGCATCCGCCAGCGGGTGTATGGCCCGCAGCACCAGAGCACCCTGGTGGTCCGGTCGTGGATCCACTACTTCGGCTGGTATGTCGATGAGGACTCGCTGGCGGCCGAGGCGGCCGGCACCTCGTCCGCCCTCGGCACCGGCGGCCCCGGCACCGGCGGCGGCGGCGGCAACGATCAAACCACCCGCCGCCGGGCGACCCTCAATGCTGCGGCCGCCACCCGGCCCACCGCTACCGCCACCACGCAGCAGTCGCAGTCGGCCGCCACGACGCCTTCCACCACGGCCGCCGCCCCGGCCAGCGGGATGCCGAATGCCGGGTCGGCCACCAGCTCCGTGGCCGCCGGCGCCGGGGGGCCTGCCACCGGCTCCGGCTCCGGCTCCGGCTCCCGGGTCGTCGCGGCCAGTGCCACCGCCAGCAGCAGCCCCGCCGGGGGGGGGCCCCAGGCACCCGGGGCCTCGCGTGTGGTTCTCACCGCGGCCGGGTCCCCGGCCACTCCGGCCGACGTCGCAGCCGCCACAACCTCCTCCTCGTCCTTGACCTCTCCCTCGCACCAGATCCCCGCGTCAACCGCCGGGTCCAGTGTCAGCTCGATCTTCCCCGGGCTGCGGCGCACCTCGCCAACTGCCACCAGCCCGTCCATCGGCAACAGCGGCAGCGGCAGCAGCAGCAGCAGCAGCAGCGGCAGCGGCAGCAGCAACAGTGCCACCCAGCCGGGCCACAGGGCGGCCTTCGCCCCGTACCCGGCCGCCGGATCGAGCAGCGCCCACGGGGGGGCCCCGCTGACCACGCAGCAGCAGCCGCCGTCTCAGGCAAATGCCCGGTCGGCCCCAACGACGACGCACCTGGCCGGTGGCGGCGTCGCGGCCATGGTCCTGGACCCGCCGACTGGCGGCGACGCCCTCGGCGGGCCGGTCACCTCGGCCTCCAGCGGTAGCCGGCTGTCCGGCCTCTGGTCTGCAGCCACTCGCTCATCCATTGTCAGCAGCATCACCAGTGCCAGCAGCAGCAGCGCCTCCAACGGGCGCTCTGGCGGCAGTAGCAGCACCTCGCCTCTGAACGCCACGGCCACCGAGCAGCAGCAGCAGCAGCAACAGCTCCATCTCCAAGCCCAGCAGGCTACGCTATTGCAGCAGCAGCAGCAGCAGCAGCATGCGGCGACCGCCGCTGGTCGCCAGCCCGGAGCCGGGTCCGGCAGCAGCAACCACAGCAGCCCCTTCAGTAGAACGTCCTCCGTGGACCCGGCCTTCAGCGGTGCCGGTGGTGGGTCCTCGGGCCACACGGCCTCGGCGGCTTCCTCGGCCGCCACCGCCGACGACCGGCGGTCCTCCACACGGCGCCCGTCCTTCTCGCGCTCGGCGCGCAGCTCCCGCTCCCAGTAATGTGACCCTGCGCCCTGTCCCTGCGCGTCCGCACATGGGCGTGGGCATGTGAGGGGGAGAGAGCGAGCGAGGGAAAGAGAGGGAGAGAGAGAGAGAGACAAAGAGCACGCGACAGCGAGCGAGCCAAGGCGCCAGGACGGCAGGGGGCGCACCACCCCGGAAAACTTGGTCGCATTTTCCAGCTGCAGCAACACGAGGAATGATGAAGACATTGCCCCTCTCCCCCCGGTCGTATCCCCCGCACGCACGCGTGTGCACATACATCGGTGTGCATGACAAGACAAACACGATTACGAGACCGAGACACCAGGCGAGAGGGAGAGAGAGAGAGAGAGGGAACAAGCGCAAAGAGATAGAGCGACGGCGGCAAAATACCCGCTTTCACTCGGCTCGCCCTGCCCCCACCCCAGCCCCACCCACCGCGCCGCCCGGAGGCCCGGGGCTGGCGCCCGAGAGAGAGAGAGACACGCGAGGAACGACACATCAAGGAAAGAATCAGCAGAAAGGGCGACCGCGCGCGCGCATGCGCGAGGGCACATGGATAGGCTCTCTTTGACATATATTCACACGCACGCCAGGGGGGGCAGACGCCAGAATGGCACCCCCCAGTCCCGCCGCCGCACCGCGCCATCACCGATGTCCCCCACCCACCATTTGCCGCCGCCACCGCCGCGGCCGCCGCCGCCGCCAGAGTCTCCTCCCCCCGGCCCCGGGGCGGAGCGGACACATGCGAGGGCACAATAGGAGGGAGAGAGAGAGAGAGACAGAAGTCGAAAGGGGGACACACCACAGCAGCCGCCAGCCGCCTGAAGCACAAAAATAAACCACATTGCCAAAAAAAAAAAAGAGCAGTGCCGTCTCACCTTCCGCCACAGAGGGAGGCGAGAGGGGCGCAGGGGGGAGGGTGGTGTGCCACCAACCGCGCCGGGGAATGAGACCGGAAGAAGGGGCAAAGGGGCGGCTGAAATGTTTGTGTGTAGTCTATGTATAACAAGGGGGTGAGGAGCTGGGGGGGGGAGGGGGGGGAGGGGAAAGAGGAGAAAAGCGGGAGAAGGAGCCCAGCCGCAGAACATCACAAGGAGGGGAGAAACGGGGAGAAAGAGAAAGGACAACAGACGCAGAGACAATGAGTCTCCTCTCGCGAGGATGTGCATGCCTGCGCATGCACGCATGCACGCATGCACGCACGCACGCACGCACGCACGCGGACATGCACATGCACTCGAATGTGAGTGAGAGAGGGGGCCCGAGCCGGCGGCAGGCGCAGGGCGAGGGACGCAGAGCGAGGGGGAGCGGGGGGAGGGGGAGGGGGGCGCACGCGCCCGATGACAACGATGGGGCCCTGGGGCATGCCCATGCGACGCGCTCGCACCCCACCCACCCCCCCCCCTCCCCCTCCCCGGCCTGCATGCTCACACTTGGCCTACACCTGTGTCTCTCGCTCACGAGCGCCAGATGTTGCCGCCCGAGAACTCGTCGATGACACGCAGCAGGTCGGTCGGCGGGCGGATGATCTGCACCACGAGCGGCGACGCGTCATACAGGCCGCGCAGGAAGGCCGCCACATCCTCATCCGACAGGGCGGCCCCGGTGTTGGGCAGCGACCGGAAAACGCACAGCAGCGGCTCCAGGGCCTGGTGGCCAGGCGGGCTGTCGGTCACCGCGCGCACCAGGCGCAGAACTCGCATGGCCAGCTCGCGCTGCTTGGCCTCCGGCATGCTGTCGAACACCCGGTCCAGGGTGTTCAGGTAGGCCTGCGAGGCGGCCACCGCCGGCGAGGTGGCCACCGCCGCCTTGCCCTTCTTCGGGGAGGCCATGGTGGCCAGGTCGGCCTTGACGCGCTCCAGCGACATGTTCGCCAGCACATGGAGCAGGTCCTCGGCCGGGAAGGAATCCAGCAGGCCGGTCGTGCCGTTGGCCATGGCCTCGGTCAGGGCCGCGCGAATGGCCTCGGCCTGGGCCGGAGGGTTAGCCAGCTCGGCCACATACTGGGCCCAGGTGTCGCTGGAGTTGGTCAGGCGGTTCATCTCCCGAACCAGGAAGTTGGCCATCGGCCGCGGCATCAGACCGCGAACCTGGTAAAGGCTCAGCAGCAGGTCGGCCGCGTGCATGTTCCGCTCCATGCCCGGCGACTTGGGGTCCAGGTCGACGGTGGTGCGCAGCGGCGCCGGCGGCGCACCCCCCAGGCCAATGGTCGAGGAGGACGCATCCTCCGGCCGGTGGAGGAACTCAAAGCGCTCGATGGCCGTCTGCATGTCGGACTTCGACAGCGGCGGGGCGATGGTGGCCAGGCCACGGGTGAAGCGCTCCAGCGCGCGCTCATACATCTGCACCGCGATGCCGGCCCCGGAGGAGGACACCGGCTCCGGCATCTCCATGTCCAGGCGCTGGACCAGCTTCTGCGCCACCGGGTACAGGGCGTCCAGCAGGGTCTGCGAAATGGCACGATGATGGGCCGAGGCGGCCAGCCGATCCGACTCCGGCAGGACCACCGGCCGGGTGTACGCCTGCAGGTTGCCAAAGGCGTGGGTATTCCCCAGGCCGTCCGGCACCGACTGGTAGAAGTCCCGGCGGTTGTCATAGAGCAGCTCCCGCGCGGCGGTGTTCTTCGGCCACAGGATCCCAAAGAGATCGGTCTCGAAGTTGGTGGCCAGGGCATTGCCCACATGCGTGTGCAGACCCGGCTTGGGCTTGTACATGGCCGACACATAGGTGTTGTACGCGGGGAAGGTGAAGGGCGAGCGCATGACACTCCGGGAGAACTTAGACGCCGGCGGCAGGGCGAAGCGCTCGAAGTTCGGCCGCATCTGCCCCTCCACATGGGGGAGGTCCAGCTCGGAAGAGTGGTCGACATTCATGTCGAGCTGTGTTGTGGCCGGCGGTGGCGAGGGGCGAGGGGCGAGGGGCGAGGGGCGAGGGGCGAGGGGCGAGGGGCGAGGGGCGAGGGGGGAGGGGGACAAAAGAAGACGGTGCAGGTGTGAGTAATCTCATGATGGGGACGCAGGCAGAAGGGATGGCACGAAGGGGCCATGCAGGAGAGGGGGGGGAGGGCAGAGGGAGAGAGCATACGCACCGGGACAAAGAACCCATCAACGATGCTGTCAGTGACCTCCTCGACAGTGGCGAAGTTCCACTTGGGAGACTGGTCCTTGTCGATGAGAGCCGCGCGGACACCCTCGACGAAGTCGCCCTTGGGGTGCTGTTACACAGCAAGAGAGGAAGGAGGCAGGGGGGAGAGGGGGGAAGAAAGAGAAAAGGGAGACGAAAGAGAAAAGGGAGACGAAAGAGAAAAGGGAGACAAAAGAGAGAGAGAGAGAGAGAGAGAGAGAGAGAGAGAGAGAAAGGTCAGCAACCAGCGCCTGAAGTCGAAAGGGGAACGGGGGAACGGGGAAACGGGCCATAACAAAGAGGACAAACGCACCAGGGCAATGCGCTGGCTCAGACGGTACTCCAGGCGCAGGCACTTACGGATGGACAGATCGCGCGCCATGCGGATCAGACGGTGGGTGATGGCCATGCTCAGGGGGGAGTTCTTCTCCATCATGGCGAGAATCTTCTTGGCGAAGGGGGTGTCGGTAACCCGGAGAGCGCCCATGATCTCGGGCAGGGTCTCCAGAGAGAAGACGCTGAGAAAGGCGGGGACGGAGGAGGAGGGGGCGGGAGGCGAAAAGAGGAGGAGCCAGGCAAATCAGGAGCAAAGCGATGTCAGGGGTCATGCATCGGGCATGGCGTGCCACGGCGGGCGGCAAGCGGAAGCGAGGAGGAGGCAGGGCGACTGGCTACGCACGTGTTGATGAAGCCCATGTGCTCGGCCAGGGAGAAGGGGGCTGCATGACGGCGAGGGGAGGTGGCGAGGGCGAGGGTCAGCGGTGAAGGCCGAAAGGACAACCGAAGGGAAGAGACCAGGCCCCCGGTGGTAAGGAGGGCTAGCACGCTCGCGGCGTCGGGACAAACGCACGGATATCCACGGTGGCATGCTCATTGAGCTGGTAGTTGATGCGATCGGCGTTCAGGCGCGGGGTGCTGCTGAGGAACTCATGGACCATCGGGTGCATGTCCTCCTCGATATAGTGGGTGGCAATGCGCGACCAGCTGCCAGACGGCCAGGCGACACGCAAGCAGGAGCAGCAGGGCCGGCGAGGGGCGCCTGGGGGTCAGAATGTGCGGCTACCCGCGCGGGCTGCCATGCTGTTCGGCAGGGAGGGAGAGAGAGAGAGAGAGGTGGAGGGGGAATGCACAAAGGCGGGGTCTGACATGTACGCACAACACATCGGCACCCTTGAGCTGGTAACCGGTCAGGGCAAGGAACATGCCGAGCTCGCCATCCAGGCGGGCCAGATTATAGGACATGCCGACGTCGGGGAACAGGCCGATGGCACACTCTGTCAAGCACCCAGGCGGAGGAGAGGGGAAGCCCAAGGCAAGGAGGCATGTCAGTCCGCAGTCCGGATGACGGACCAGCATCCGGTGGGAAGGGCACCATGAAGGCAGGCGGGGCACGCACCGGGCATGGAGAAAAGGGTCGACTCCGAGGCAATCCGGAAGTGGCCATGAACGGAAATACCGGCACCGCCACCCACTAAGGGAGTAAAGAGAGCGAACACATGCGAAACCGTTAGAGAGAGAGAGAGAGAGAGACAAAGACAAAGAGAGAGGGGGGCAGGCGAAGAGTGCCGGGGACGGGGGGAACCGAGCATGCATACACACGCGCATATGCGTCCCCGCCCCCTGCTCCCCTCTGTGGCTCTCGGAAAGTGGCAAAGGGAAAGACGCACTGACGATGCCCCTGAGGAAGGACACGACCGGCACGGGGTAGGTGGCCAGCAGGAGGTTGGCGTGGTACTCGTTCTTGAAGAACTCGCGGAACATCGGGGTGTTCTCCTTGATGGACTTGACCACGGCGCGCACGTCACCACCGGCGCAGAAGGCGCGCGGCGAGGTGGACCGGATGATCACCGACGAGGGGGGGAAGGGCTCGCTCTTCCAGGTCTGTGCAAGGAGAAGGAGGAGGAGGAGGAGGGGGGGGGAGAAATAAGGGGTCAGCGATATGCACATACACATGAGCGTGCACGCGCGCGCGGCCAGGCCCAGGCCAAAGCGCGGCCCAGGGCTCGAGCCCAGCTGGCGGCCATCCACGCACCAGGAGCAGATCGTTGATGGTGTCCACCATGCCGGAGTTCAGGGCGTTGAGGGCGCGCGGGCGGTTCAGGAGAAGGTGGCGGGTCCGGCCATCCTCGGCGCCGACGACCTCGTCCTTCGGCAGGTTGGTGGACAGCTTGCCACGGTAGGACTCCAGGTAGGACACCACGCGGAAGTTGCCATCATGCACGAGTTTCCGGCCGCCGTAGCCAACCGACGAGCCGGCCAGCGGCCCGGGGTTGGCCTTGTAGTTGAGGGTCGTCTGCGGGGACATGCCCTCCAGCGGGACACTCAGCGCGGCCTCCTGGAAGGAGTAGGCCGACACCTCCTTGCCGGTCCAGTGCTGCCAGGTGGGCCCAACCGGGCCGGCGTCCTTGACAAAGCCCGGCACCGGGGTGGCCGCCCGCTGGGCGCTGGCCTCCTGCAGGAAGGCCTGCATGGCATCGACCGAGGACGAGTTGGCCGCCGCGGCGGCATTCACCGCGGCGAGGGCCTCCTCGGTGGAGATCGGCCGACCGGAGGTGTCATACTGGGCCAGGACATTGTGCGACTCGGCCAGGAAGTCGGGCAGCTTGGTGCTGAAGGACCGCGCTGGGGCATCGGCGTCGGCATTGGCGCCGAGGCGCAACGACCGGGCGACGAGGGCCGCCGGAATGGCGGCCGTCTGGCCGGGCCGGGACTGGTGGCGCGAAGCAAGGAGGGCACGGCTGAGCATGGCTGCGGCGTTGTCGGTGCTCCTGCCTTTTGTTGCTGGTGTTGTGTCTTTTTTTTTCTTTCCCGAAACGGAAGGGAGGCGGTCGCGGCGGCGGAGGGGCTCGAGACCGGGAGGGTAAGGGTGCAGGTGCAGAGGGCGAAAGAGGAAAGGGAGGGAGGGGGAGGCAGAGAGGCGACGGGCAAGGAGGCGGGAGGGGGGAGGGGGGGAGGGGGGAGGAGGTGTCTCTGCACGTTGATCGCTAGTGCGCCAACGGAAGGCGCCGCCGGCGCCGCCCCACTTCAGAGGGCGAGGTGCCGCCGGCCAGCACGGGCGGATGGAGAGTCCGCGGCGTG